CCCCCGCCAACCCTGTCTTTCTCTCTCTCGAAATTTATTCCCGTGAGATATTTTACGATCAAGTCAATTTGAGATTCATGGTGGTTAATAAGAATCTGTGTATTTTCAACTTGTATAAACAGGCAGTTTGTCAACCCTTTCCCAGCGTATGTATCGGGGAAACTCGATAATTGCCATCTTCATTAAAAGTGTTATTCATCGCACGATTTATGATATAATAATGTTGAGTCTTGTCACGCGCGGTTTCAACTCTCGCTTTTTTCACCGGTCACATTTCTCACGGAATCGGCTTTTCCTTAATGAGAGAACGTGTGTCGGTACACTGATAACTTTTACATTAGAAAAGTTGATCGAAAGCCTTGAAAGTTATCAGGCTTTGCTCTCGAAATTCGATGAAGCCGTTGCTCCTTGTTCCTTTTTTTACAGATCGACCACGCTTCGATAAATAATACAACCTTGTTTCCGCGAAAGAAATCCCCGAGGTGCAATTCTGTTCTTTCCGTATCCAATTCGCGGAGTAATTTGTAGTTGCGATCCGATATAATGAATTTGCCGATAAAGCGCGCGGACGGACGGACGGATGGACGAGCGTCAATGATAACCTGCATTATCGTGCACGGCACGACAAAGCGGAGCTCTCGGTGCCGATTCAATATCGATCGACGCCGTCGGCTACCAGCAAAGTGGATAAACAGCGGCGAAAACGTATCACATTAAGTCGGATCGCCCGTGAAAACGGAGGCGAGCGATCCGAGTGAATACGAGAACAGACTGCTCGATCAGCGATAGCATCGATCCTATCTCGTGGCGAGAAATCGCGTACTGCAGCAATTTATCTGGAAATCGCTTCATTCAAAAATACGCATAAACATTCGGTATCGGCGTAATCGTAATGTTACTTTGATGTTTGTCAACGACTTTATGTAGCACGCCTTTTTACGCGCGGTCCATAGAAACCGGGTAAATTTCGTCTTTAAGAGACACTTAAAATATTATAGAAAAATATAAAATAAAAATAAGTTATGTATATATATATATTTTTTTTCATTTCATTGTTTGTAATGTAACAAGCCGATATCAAAGTCGCGACACGTGCGCCGGTTTTTTTCATTTACGGCATGGCTGTTTGATATTACGTCGCCACGCATAAATTCACCAACGGCTGGAAAAATTATTTAAGTGGTTTTTCAATTTCACCGTAAAACTTCATTCGTTGCCGAGTCGTAGACCTTAACTCACCGTTTTCGATAAATCTTACAGATTTTACTTATTCGCGGATCTATTGATTTTCAATGCGACACTTCTCCCGCGAATACTGGAAATATATTCGTGGTTTCGAAAATACCGTCGCTTTTATAAATCCTCAGTTTTCGGGAGCGCTGTCGGTCGTACGGACAAATGTTGGGATCTATATATTTCCAGTGGTTTTTATCAATTTTATATATTTTATAGATTTTCACGTCCACGTATTTTCGCGGAGCCGCAAATCCTCCATTCTCCCCGAATCCCGATATAAATCAATTAATCCCCGCAATTTCGCTTCACGAAGTTTTACCGCGTAAAGAGATTTCCGGACAAAATATCGAATCCGACAGTTCCACGTCAAAACAAATTAATTAGACGGGATTACGGGACAGGAAATCTAATTATCAGTAATCGAAGCTAACTGACGAGGCTGAAGCGCGGTGTGTGTCACGCTCGTTGCGTAGATGAGAGAATGTAATAAGAGGACAGCCGCGATCTTTGTGAAAGAGGAAAGTAGAAAATGCCGCGTGCGCGAGCGGAGGTGTTCGATCCGATAGAAGCGGAGAAACCGTCGAGATGCATCAGATTCCTCCGGCTGCTTTGGAAATTCAGCAGATGCGTATTCTCCCACGTCACGCTGATCTCCTTGGTGGTTGCTTATTGTGTAATCGGCGCATACGCCTTCGAATTACTCGAGGCGAAGCACGAGAAACAGGTGAGTCGCGAGCGATGCGCGAGATTTCGCCGTTCGTTAACTCACTTATTCTCAATCTAATTGAGATGCCTCGAATTCTCATTTTAACGAACTTCAAAAGCCGACATTTTCACCTGTTCATTGTTGTTTCAATTCGCTCCGTTTTTCACACACATTCTTCTTTCACGTAATGTAATTAATCCTCGAGAACGAAGGTCAAAATTGCCCGCATTTCGCGGCTTGTGCGGCACAATTTTTTCAGAAATATCTAACAAGTTAACCTATCGTTGATTTATCTTCGCGTCTCATTTCATGCCACGGAGAGCAGAGTTATAAATCTATCTGTCCGTATTATTTACCGCTACGTTACCGATAAGTTAATATCTCTCGTACGCTACACGCATACCATCCGTACTCGCGTTTCCGCAAGCTACCGTGGAATTCGGCCCCCGAGCAGAAATTAATTCGGCGTCGGGAGCAAAAAGGGTACAGACAAATAGTTTCACCCGCATCGAATATTCCGCGCTCGTGTCGATGAATTATTGACTGCCGCCGAGCGGCGCGACGTCGAGTAAATGCATCGTTACGTTCTTCGCAGGTGAAGTTGAGCATCAAGGAAATACGGGGTAACGTCTCGGAGAAACTATGGGAAATCACGAAGGATTTCGAAGTGTTGATTCGCGAAAACTGGACGGACAAGGCGCTGACCCAGTTGAAGGTACATAATTTTGGCCATTTTTTTTTCATCTTCCTCCAAATCTCCGAATTTCTTTTCGAATCTCTCTCTCTCTTTCTCTTTTTTTCCCGATTCTCTCGGGTAGATTTTTTTCGTTCTATAAAATGCAAACGGATCCGGGATCCGTGTTTATGAGAACGCGCTAAATAGCGACGCGTCGAAGTGACACGCGAAATGCAAAATGTCCCTTTCTCGTTTTAAGTCTGATTCAATCTGAGAGCACGCTATTTGTTCGCGAATAATACGCAATGCAGCAGTTCGAAGAGGAACTCCTGAAGAAAATGACGAAGGATGGTTGGGACGGCAGCGAGGAGGTGAATAATATTCAGTGGACGTTCGCCGGTGCTCTGTTCTACTCTATCATCGTCATCACGACGATCGGTGAGTCGATATCGGAGGCATCGTCAAAGTAATAGCCAGAAAGCGAAGGTATTAAGCAAACATAAGGACTCGTGAGAAATTTTACTTATTATATGAAACGCGTGGTACGTGTCATTCGAGAAATTCATTCTTCGCTCAACATTATTTATCGGTTTCTTATTTAATCCCATTTAGGGGCCATTCAACAATTACGTCACATTACGAGAGGAAGGGCGATCTGTTAATTTGCGTGACAGTCTGTGATGTTAGAGAGAAGGGAAGTGAAGGCGATGGAACGTCACATTAGATGGCATATTTTGTAATATGGCTGCACGTGGTTATCTACTTTGTTTGCCTTCGTGACACATTTGGTTACATTTGGTGAAAATTTGTAAGCTTCGGCCTTGTGTTAATAATTAAAATGTTAATCTTGAAATATTTGTACTTCTAAAACTACAATTTTTACTAATCAAAATTGTAAAATCAAGTAATTATATGCTTAAATATTACTTATATTTTGGAAAAAGATAGTAGCAGTCTGATAATTATTACTCACAATACGGTTGTAAACTATTTTTTCATTCTATGTATTCCACATGTCACGTAATATTGCACATACTTTGTTACGAAATTGTGTCGAAGGGAAGGGAAGGGGAGAGTAAAAATACCAAATTTAGCGTGACGTAATTATTAAATGGCTCCTTATTTTAAGGGATAACCCGTTAGCGTTTCGAAGAAACGGTAACAGAGTGAATGTACGGGAAACAGTACAATCGATCGGAATTGCACAAATAAAAAGCGAGAAAAGTGAGAAACGTGTTACACATTATACTGACGTTTCGATGTTGCCTTCGAGATATTTTTTATTTATTTTCTTATTTCTGCGAGACCTCGTCAGAAGGTTATATCTGTTTCTCTGGAGAAAGAACGATGTGCACATTGTACAAATTTAGACGCTTGAGACAAAGTACGAGTGTTGTTCCACACTCGAATTAATTATTGACGCGATTACAGTTCGTGTTCGAGTCGTGTCTCATCTAATTGTGCATCATGTACGATTACTCGACGAACGTGTACGTATGATATATATCCCTGTCGTATCTTTGGCATCTCCACCGAGACCGAAACGATCGCTCGAGCTTCACGGCGGATCGAGAAACGATTCGGTCGAGACGAGATTTTTTATCTACAGTCATTGCTCCTCGTCCTACTCGTCCGTCCTCAGCTTCTCGCTCGCTTGCGTTTGATTCTTGCCCAACGACCTCCCGTAGATCTCATAATCGTCCGGATCCGCGTCGTAGCCATATGGCCGTAACGACTCGAACTCATTACGATGACCATAACCGCCATAAGGTCCCGAGTAATAGTCACCGAAAGACGGATGTCGGTAGCCGTATGGATTACCGTGCGGTCCCCGATTGTCGTAATAATTCGTCGTCGGCGCGAAACCGCCCGGCCCGTACTTGTGCGGCGCGCCCTGGGAATGATTGTATGCTCAGTAGGAGAAACACCAGCGAAAAATACCATATCGCGCGAGAGAACGGAAATTCAAGGAGAGGTACAGATATTTCAATATATCTGAATAAAAACCCGATAAATGAGTAAATTAATTAAATTCGTACGTATCGCGGTAGAGAGAGAGAACGTTTCATTTTGCTTTCTCGAAATATTCCTACGGGGGAAACCTTGAAATATTCTATTTAAAAAAGAAATCTGCTGTCCCTCTGTCTCTCTATTTTCCGCTCTTTTAAAATTTGTATGCGTCAATTTCAGCGAAATCTCCATGCAAAGCTTTATATTATGAGGATATATTTTTCGTTACGGGGTAAGACGGGTAGTGTTGACCTCCCGACAGTGCTGGGAATTTTCTGCTGTTGAAGCAGCAATACTTCTTCTCCCTCGAGCAGTGGCCCTGAAATCACGAGTATTCGTTGAAATCGTCGTCGTGTCCGGCGCGCCTCGCGAACGCTCGGTCGTAAACGTACGAATTTCAAGCCTGGCGACGGGCAGTTGAAGCTGTATCTGCACTTGCAAGTGTCGAAGTCGCGATAACGGGGATCCTCCCGGATCCATGACGGCACCGAGCCCAGGATACCGTTGTGTCCACCTGGTCCATCGAGACGCGGAGGTCTGAAACGTTAACGTCGAGTATTTCGACGTCGCACCACTTGGCGAATATTGACTACAACAAACAGTGCAACGCGACGCGTTCTGGACTACGGCGAGAATTTAATTGGACAAGAAGCCAGTCTGTGAAAGCGAACATCGATCGCCCGGGTGGAATGCGATACACACGGGTAGGAGCAATTCGGCCGGCTTGAAGTTTAATAGATAATTCGCGTGCGAATCCGGCGCGGATCCCGTGAAGAATATATACACTTGGCCGATAAACTGCTGCGTGACCGGGTAGTGAAGCGTCCCTCATAAAATATTGTTATGGCGCCGGGCGACGCCTCTCGCGCCCAATTAAATGTGCAGAAAATCTATAAATTAAGCGCTTCCTGTGAAGAGGCCGAGCTATATATTTTAATCGGATCACTGGACATTTAATATAGAGAGTAAACCGACGAAGCATACACACACCGCTCGGTGTGGAAGCACTCCGAGATTAATGAGTCCGTTTGAAAAACGCGATTCGACGCACCCGATGAAAATCCAAAACGACCGTCATAGCGGGTCGCAATTTTTAAACAGCGCCCCGGCAATTGCGGAAAGTGGGTCGGCCGAGCCGATTAATAATCGCTCGCTCGTAGAGAGCGCTTGTGCAAATATTTTCCCCCGGGTCGTCCTCGCTATACGTAAAAAAGTTTCAGTCGCTTCTTCATGCGCCAACGTTGGGAAGGGATCTCGAGACCGAGTCGAGGATGAAAACGTTTGTTGGCTAATCGCGTGTTCAACGTTCGTCGCGTTTACCGCAACTCGATTGCGCGTTCGGCTCTCTCTCTCTCTCTCTCTCTCTTTCTCACCGGCTCGTCTTTTTCCCCGTTTGATCAATATTATTCAGACCGTTGCAAACGTTTACCTTCCGAGTATTCCGGTTGGTCCCCCAGGACCAACGAGGATACCGCCATTGTTGCCTGGATACGACGGTACCAACGGCCGGCCGTTGGGCCCGTAAGGGCCCGGATGATGTGGTCTAAAGCCTGCCCCGTTATTGATGCCGTCGAAATCGGGCTCGTATACTTGATACCTGGAGTCACACGACGAAATTACGACGGAAATTATATCGCGAAATGTCTATCTACGTTTCCGTTAATACCGTACACCGTCGCGTCGTAAATGCAAAAAACGCAGGTAACTGGCACACAAGGAAAAAAGGAATTGGCTGTACAATACAATGTTTATACAATACAACTGAAATTTAGTTACCAGAACTCATTTTTGGGAACTAAAAACGAGATAGAAGGGCAGAAAAATTAACTAAATTAACTAAATTTCAGTTGTATTGCATGGACAGTTAATTTTCACCTGTGGGAGCTAGTTTTTGGCCGTGAGAGCTAATTGTTTTTCTTCCTTCAAGTAATGGTTATCTCGGATAAAGAATATTTTTTTCATAACATTATTAAAGAAATGTTCGTTACAGATATTAGAAAAGCTCATTATCATTTACTCAAAAGCAGAATTTGCTCTCTTTTCAAGAATATTATAAACTTCATCGAAGAAAAGTTAAATTCGGTTAATTGGAACAAGTGCAAATAAAGTTTCAATATTTTAATTTAATATTCTCGGTTGAGGTAAAAACTAAATTTACTTGCTTGAAACAAGTAATATTTACTTGAATGCGGTATATATTTTTCTGTGTGTACTTGCAACGTTACCGTATCCGAAAGGAATCGCGGACTGATAACGTACCTTGCCTCGCCGACTTCTGCCTTGCTCGTCTTCTGCTTATCGTCGTTCCACGTCCAAGGCTCGTCCTTTTCGCCGGACGCCGTCGCGACCACGACGCAGAATATAAAAAGGGCTGCTCGCATTGTTACCGTCGCGAGATTCGTGATTTCCGGTGCGATACGTCTCGGTCGTCGTTGCCCGAAAAGGAGGATGTACGGACGCGCATAACACCCGAAGCCGACTAAACGAGAGTGAAAGTGAATCCCGCCTTTATATATGAATCGGCGAGAAGGTGAACGCACCGTTACACTTCGAGGTCCTTTTGGACGATTATCATCCGCGATCAATGGACTGTTTGCCTCCTTTGTTTGCTTCCATGCGAACCCTGAAAACGCGACTGCACTTTGTAAAACCGAGAGAAAAGCAAAGAGAGAGAGAGAGAGAGAGAAACGCCGCTAATCATTCCCGGCGAATCCCGTGCGGAAAAACGCAAGAATATCGGTGAGACCCGCGATTTTCACGTCTAGAGTGGTGAAAAATCGCGAACGGTGGAGTCGCTATTTTTTCCTTCAAGATCCCACGCGATGGCCGTGATTCCGTTTAGAGGCGCCGTAAAATATGCGCGTTATAAAGGAACGCCGTGTTCCTTCCTTCGAATGAATACCTTTTTACTTTTCCACCTCCCGCCGAGGAGTATTACCTCGACTTTTACGCGCGTGATGTAACGTCGGAGGCACGTTGAAGGAATGCTGGAAACGTAAAGAAAAGAAGAGAAAAAAGAAAAAGAGCGACGGATGATTTTTCAGGTCATACTTGAAAAAATCAATTCCGCGCGCGCGTGACGCGCGCAACGGCAGTTATTGTTGCAACTTTCATAAAAGTTGTTAACACATCGGTGTGTAATACATGCGCAGACGCCAGATTTATATTCGCGTCCACGTTGAAATTACATCGCGCGCCTGTTGGCTTACAAGCGTAACGTTATTATGCAGTTACGTGGGTGGATCTGGTCGGATCTTGAGGCCGGTTCCGCTCCTTCGAGCGGTTGTCCTTCGACCTGGGAAAACCCGGTTCTTCGACGAGGTAGGGAAGCAGGTTGGCTGGCGGCGCGCGCGCTCTTTGACCTCCTTCTTAAAGCAAAATCAAGACACATGGTGCAACGTTAATTCCCGCGATTTCGCTCCCCGCTCCGCGGGAAATTACCGCCATTACGGATTTTCAGCCTTCACTCTTGAAAAGTACATCCTTTATTAAGCCACATTTGCCCGCCAATCTTCCTAGGAGCGTGATCGCGCGTTCCGCGTCGTGTTTTACCGCGTCCGCGCTTATTATGCGATTCGTTATTCCGCAAAAGTCACCAATATCGCGATACGGGACGGCGATGCCTCGGCTCGACACGATTCCGCGAGATACTCGCGATTTATAAGGAGAACCGAGGGAAACGCTTCCCGGCTAGAGCGGAGACTTCCAATAATCGTTCGTTCTAACGCGGATCAGGTATTTGGCGTCGCTGTTTCGGTCGTTGAGTAGAAAATAAAGAGGCAGCGGACGGAGATATTTCACAGAGAGACTCGCGGAAAATATTGCGGAGTTTCTGTCGTTCACAGAGTTGACCCGAATGCATCGTCCGCCGGTTTTTAAGGTAAGCCCGGACGGACGCGCCGGGACGAATGCGAAATGCTCTTTATCCCGCGTTCGCTTTGAAACTCGCTCCCGGAATGACATCTTTTCATTATGAGATTAAACGGGAGATTAAGCGGGGGTTTAAGCAACGGAATTTTATCCGGCGGGCAAAGTGGCGCCGAATAAAACAACGAGCTGTCGCGCGCACCTTTCGCGGCGTAACAGCTCCGAACAAAAGCTCAGCGAACTGTCGCGCGGATACTCGCTGAGTTTAAGGAAGAATCAAATTCGAACTGTTGCGAACGGCCACCGCCTCGTGGATTTAATGGGGGAGTCCGATTCGATTAAGCGACTTCCTCCCGAGCGATCTCGCCGAGATAAGCGTTCGAATTGATCGAGGAGGCTCTCTCTCTCTCCGCTCCTCAGGAAGACATCATTGCTTGTTGCAACACACACCCGCCAAGGCAAATGTCTGATCGTTTGATTCAAGTGTCGCAATTTCCAGACGGGCAGGCAACTCATACCCACGGCTCTTAAGGTATTATATATATATATATATATATAAACAGAAGAGCTTAAAGGAGATCGGAAAGTAAATACAGCGAATTATTTCAACATAAAAAGGAAATAATATCGAGAGAAATATAATGACGCGAAGGAGAATGGGAATTAATCGGACGGCTGAATGTCGACAAACCAACAGAAAACTGAAACCTGGCGATCCCGGTTACGAGCGATTTTTCACAGTGCCTCGCCTTTCTTCCTCTGTTAGGATTTCCCCTTAAGTAAGCGTCCGCGAGACAAAATCGAGTCGAGCTTCGTAACCCTTTGGCACGAATTGATGAAATCGGATCTGCGCCACTTACTTCCGTCCCCTTCGCTCTCTCTCTCTCTCTCTCTATCTCTCTCTCTCTCTCTCTTTCTATCTGCCTTTCGCTCCCTCTCCTCTTTGCCATCGCCGCAGGAAGCTTGTCGTTCGTATCCGCGAAAATTCATTTCACGGGCCGGCCGGAAGGGACGCCCTTTCGCAGCACTTTTCAACTAATTTCCTGGGGGCGCGTAATCTTTTTTAAGTAATTTCCTGCTACCGTAAATACGATAAAAGGAGGACGGTGCTTTGGCCGTTTGTCCTTTTACCGCGCTTCGCCGATGTAACGGGTCTCACCGCGAGAAAATAATAGCCGCGGTGAACCGAGCGGGGTCGACTTAATTCGCGAAAAGCGCGATATTATTTGTACAAATGCGAGCCGCGTGGCGAATTTTATTCGTATTAAATTTACCGTCCCCGCGTCTATTTGCGACACAGAGGACGGGCGGACATTATTTTTCCTCGGATCGATTCTGCAAACACTCAGGAGCGTTAATTTTGATCCAAATCAATCTGTTTCCCCAACACTTTGAACGAATCGGTCGCTCATGAAGGGAAGGACGAAGGTGTGGACCAAAGCCGATTGAGGTTTCAACGATTATAATTCCCTTAGGTCGCAGTTCCGACGGCGACGTACTCTCCTCTCCTAACGACGCAAATTTTTAATCTTCGATATTAAAGATCCCGGCGATGAAATTTCGATCGAAAATCCTATTTACGGTCAGAATCTAGTCGAAGTTAATCGAAGAGCAAGATCGTATCGTAACGACTCGCTCTTCGAGGGCCCGCGATATCTAAGAACTGTTTGTAATTTTCCTTATATCCGCGAAACTCAGCGTCGATATTCGCGCATCGAAGTAAACGTCATCTCGGTTCTCGGTCTTCGCAGCCCCCGAGCAATCAATCGATTATTAAAGCACGCGGCTTCAGCAGTATCAAGTTTAATGGCTATCTTTATCGGACCCGACGCCGAAACGTGACTTACATCCGCAACACGTCAATTTCCAACGAGTCCACTCCGGGCGGGAAATTGATGTTACACGTTCCAACGGGACGGCGATCCGCCTACTCGCGGTCTCGGCTTCACTTCCGGCCCGTAATCGCGTGAAAAAAATTAACCCGTCGATAAGATCGAAATTTCTCGAGGTCGGGCCGCGATCGAACGCTTATCCTCCGACGGGGGCGAAAATTCATTTCTTCGACAGGCTCTCGCGCGGCAAGCGACTTCTCCCTGTATTTTCTCCCTTTTCAAATAATTTCCTGCCATCGACTACGCGACCTAGTTCTCATCTCACTCTCTCTCTCTCTCTCTCTCTCTCTCTCTCTCTCTCTCTCGGCCTCTTCTAGTCGGAATAAAAGCGTTACAACGCCCGTCCTCCCCCGACCGCCCCCGTACGAGATAAAAAAAGGAACAAAGGTGTGAGTGAGTGAGTGAGAGAGAGAGAGAGAGAGAGAGAGAGGTCTCACAACGCGAATAGATCGCGATGCCTTTTCGACATCTTGGAATATCCGGGAAAATTCATGTATTCGCTACGAGAAAACTGGCTTTTTGCCTCGTATGTTTCTCCCTTCTCTCTCCTTCTCACTCTTTCCTCACTCACTTGCTTGCCTGCCTGCCTGCCTGCCTGCCTCCTTTCCTCCCTTCTGCAGACTGTATGCAGCTGCATAATGCATGGTGCCGGGCTGCGGCTGAAATTTATACCGTATCCGGGGAAAATCCCTCTTCTGCGGTGGTTTCGCGGCAGGAAAGGTTACGCGTTATAAACATCGACGGCGCTCATGAGCTCAAGCGAAATCGCTTAACGATACCTACTACCTAAATACTTATCGCTTCGCCGTACGAACGAATATTGCAGAAAAATACGGCCTTCCCCGATGGCGCCCTGTCGCACGCGTCGAGAACCTTTATCGCGCCGCGGTTTCTTCGCGAGCTCGATCGCGCTAAAGGCGATTCGAATCGCTTTTGTCGCTCGTTGCTCCGCGAGATCGCCGTAATAAGTGGCTTCTTCCGGGCAAATTTATGAAATTGGATCGCCGCCGCCTCCCGTATCCACTCCCGATCCCGCTCTCTCTTTCTCGCCCGTATCACGCTCGCCTTTCGAGCACGGATAAATCCGCCCTTTCGATAAAGGCGAAAGGGACTTGTTATGGGTGCACTTTGACCCGCTTTCCCGCGTTCCCAGGCAACTTCCTCCGGCGAGTAACTTTGTGACATAAAAAAGAAGAGTATCGATTGGCTTGATCGCGTTTCGTCTTCGGAATGGCGCGTTATTCGGATATCCTTGCGCGATGTCGTAAATTCGGAAGAGGGAGAGAAAGAGAGAGAAGCCGGGATTTATTAAAATATTCAAATATTTGGACGTCTTACCAATTCGAATGATCCTCTCAATATTTACATAATCGGGATCGTCTGAGTAATTTAGATTTAAGAAAAGAGGCCGATATTGATCTGTTTCGGGTAATTTATTGTTAGAAATTTGACTGTATTTCACGAGTTATTTCACGAGCGCAGAACCGAGTTCCCAGATAGAAGAATCTATTAAACGCTCGCGATTTCAAACATTTTCACTATAGCAGAATTCTGATGTGTTTAATACTTTATTTTACAATATTGATGTAAATTGATATACATTTTTTAAAAAATTTTGATTTACATTTTTTTCTACTTTTATTACACAGTCTTCACACATACGAGTATAATGCACGTTCTCGGAATTATCAGAATAACACGCATGATTTCTTTTATTCGACTGGTAATAACAGAAGAAAAATTCGAACGGTTTATTATAGGATTTATAGCGATCTATAGATCAGAGTTGCGCAAAGATAGAAAACGCAGACACGTCGCAACGTAACGGGAGCATTGTGCAACCGCGTGCGATGTTCCTACGCATTATCGAATACAGAAATCCCGGCGACCTTGACCCAGACTCATAGACGAAATTACGAGTCAGTCCAAGGCTTCAGGAGGAGTTTCAAGGCCGGGAGATGAGAGCGACTAAAGGCCCGAACGGCCTCGTCGACCTGTTTCTTCTAATTCCAGACTTTAAGGTGGCGATTAAGCCCGGCTTCGTGTGCACGCGCCATTGTCGATCGAGTTCATTCAATGGGACGATCGTTCGCCCGCGACACCAGATAGTGATTTTTCATTGTACGCCACTTTGCCGCTGATAAATCTCCCGTTGTGTGTTTTTTTGTTTCCAGCGAGCCAAACGTTCTGTGTGCGAAACAATAATTTAGAATTCCCGAGTTTTTCAGTACTGTCGAGCATCGCGGAATACGACACGGAATATATTGCGAATTACGCACAACGTCGGGAAAAATATATAGTGGAAAAACGCTTGGGAAATAACGGTAGATGCGAAATGACACGATCGCAAGTCGGCGGGCGGATCTAATTTTTCCGTTTGCAATTTTAGGTTACGGTCACATCGCGCCGAAAACGAAGAACGGCAAGGTAGTGACTATATTTTACGCTATCTTAGGCATTCCGCTCATGTTGCTCTGCCTGTCGAATATCGGAGACGTGATGGCGTCGAGTTTTAGGTACGATCCTTCTCGAACGTTAATCACGTTCGTCCGAATCATGGTGGATTCGGGAAATGGAAAAATCGCGAGATTGCGTTTTGCCCGCATACAACGCGCGTGCGACGTTTAGTAGTTTCCGTCATTCCGGCCAAAACAAAAAAAAGAGATGAATAAAATGGAATCAAATATTTCGTCTAAATTGCCGCGCGTTGTTTTCAGGTTTCTATATTGGAAAGTATGCTGCTACATATGCACGAAACCACCGAAAAAGCGACGGAGCCGTAATACCTTCGCCAGATCCTACTCCGTTCGTCAACCAGGGTAATCTCACGTGTAACGGAAAAATTACGAAGAAACGTTTAATTTCATTAAGAAAATAAGAACAAATACGTGTAACAGAAGACTGATGTCGGAAAAGTAGACGTTTCGAAATCCGTAATTACGAACGTTCTACCGGTCATTTTATCACTGAGACGCGGAAACGCAAAATTAAATTCAAAAAGTAGGAATCACGCACCGTCCGTCACTTACTAACTCTTTCCGGACGGGCTTTCTTTCAACTACAATTTTATCGGCGAACATTGAAACCGAGAGATCTCGAATTTAACGCGCGAATCCACGCGGGAGCAGATAGAAAAACGCAACAATACGCCGGATCGTTCCGCAAAGATTAACGACATCCCGAAGCATCTTTGGATCCTCGGATTGTTCGGGTGAATTAGCACGGCTCCGTTTAACTTACGAATTTAAGGACTCGCACGCAAAATTGCATAGTGACGTGATGTTTATACTTCATAAGGCGATATGGCTCGAGCAAAGGCCCGTTCCGCCGGTCCATCAGGGTGAGTCAACGATCAGCGGACTCGGCCTTGGGGCTTTCCGAGAGTATGACGAAGTCCTCGTACTCCGACACCGATTGCAGGTGAGGTGATATCCGAATCTCGAATCAATTATTCGACTCGATGGGACTCGAGCTTCGAACTTCATCTTCGGGCGGATAAATATTCGATGCACGAACAGCGCTTCCGGTTATAGCCAGACATTGTCCGATTAAATAATGCAAGGAAGTGTGACAGGAAGCGTAGTCCAATATATACATTTATGTGTGTATATGTGTGTATATAAATTATTCTATTAGTGTGTTGTTAGGGTATATTTGACAAAAATCCGCTATAATAATATTAAACGTTAATACAATAACGTTCACTTAAATGTCCGAATTAATATTTCATATCAGGCAGCCGTTAAATATTAATATTATGCTAAATATTAAGCATTAATTTTCGGATGTTGGTTCAATGCTGTTATAATTAATGAGTGATACATAGCGACTAATTAGAGTCAGGCTGAAGTGTACGCGATAACAAACCGCAGGTACATGCCGCGACGCTTCGAAGGAAATGAGTTACGGGCGCCGACCGGTGCTGAAGCGCTTCCTACGAATCGGCCAACGGAGGAAAGGGCGGCGACCATGCCGCGTTATTCGGACGTCCCGGTGGCCACACCGAGAAGCGTGAGAGGTATTATTCGCCGGTATCAATCTCGTTCCATTGTCGAGGAGATCGAACGGGGGCGAGAATCGCTCGCGAAATCGAAAGTATGCGAAGCGGGAAAGAAAGAACGCGGGCGCAGCGTCCGACCGTACAGCCAACCGTACGCGCGCATTTTCGGTTCGTTCGCGGACAATTACGGGCACGCGCGAGGTAATTTCGCGGCGGAAGACGATATCGTTCGCGTTGTTGCGCGAGAGCCGCCCTCCAAAAATGAGCCGGCGTAATAACCGTAAATAATTATCAATTCAATTGAATTTCGATTCTCGAGCGTTTGCATTTCATATACATCATTTACATCATTTCGAGGAGTCGGTAAACAATGTGTCGGCGCGGCACACGCACACAAAGCGCGGCGCAAAGACAAAGGCGTCGCCGCCGTCGGGCCGCGGATACGCGTAACCGTTCGCTCGATATTAATTAATTCATTCAAGCGCGCGCATCGATCGCGCGCGTTAAATTGCGCTCGTTATCGTCTCTCGATCGATCAATCGGGAATTCTCGGCCGGTCTGTCGGCCGTATTACTTTCGTATTATCGGCGCACAGCCAGTCCCAGGATGACGACGCAGTCGTTGGACAGAAAATTACTGATGGGCCCGAGCGAGACGGACCGCTCGCAGGTTCTCTGCAACCGATACGCGCTGGACGACCTGGAGGACGAGATGCTGAGGTGGCAGCCGCCACCGCCTCGGAATAGAGGCGAGTATCGATAAACGCAAAAGCACAAAAGCACGATATTACTGTCTATTACGCTCTAATTCTAAGGACGATAAAGATGCACGGAGTATCGCGATCATAAATAACTCCCGGCGAAGACGCTTATCCTCCCCGGACACTCTCACAGGCAGCAGGGATCGATAAGCCGTCTTTGCTTGGAAACACGAGTCATTATTGATAATAGGGAATATATTAGACCGAGCTAAGCTGTTATAAAATACTTCACGCGGGGAGTAAATTTACGAAGAAGAAAGCGGAAGTTATTCATGACTCGGCGATCGATAACACCAGCGAAAATAGAAGCGCCTTGCCGCACGTATATCGAGTAAGCATATATTAATGATCGAGCAAGCGGATATTTTCGATACTCGGCACGCGGTACAAAAGTGGCGGATTTATTTCGCGCAGGAATCATTTACAACGAAGTAACCCAACGAATTTCTTTGACCCCGTCTATGCAGCCATGCGATCGATCCAAGTTTAATAGCATTATTTTTAATTTCGTTACCACATAGGATGCCGTCCATCTCCGGTGATGATATTATTAGAGCTCAGAATCCGATTAGAGAGTCCGCGAAGTGTCCGGAGACGATGAATTAAATAGGCCGCGTTCTGAGGTGCTCGAAGAAATTAAACAAAACCGATATCGTTACAGTCGGCAACTCGGAGAAGCCGCAGAGCAACGGAACGACCGACGAGCCGGATAACGCCGAAAAGCAAACCCCCCTCAGTCCGAGATCCTTGCCGAGGAGATGCCTCTCCGTGGAGGGAGCCACGACGAATAGCCAGAGAACGAGCTTGGCGTCGGGGCTGCGACCTGCTCAAGTTTATTTGGAAATGGAGCATATGGGAAGGTCGCAATCCGCCAAGTCTAGACGCACGAGAAGCAATTACTCCGTCGGTGAGCGAGTCGCATAAATGCGCCGAATCTCGCGAGATATCATTCTAGATACGTGAAAAAATCCAAATTTCCGGGAGAATCGGAGGGGAAATCGAGAAATAACACTTGGAATTAAGCAATAATCCCCGTAAATTGTGCCTTCAGAGTCCGGGCGTTGCTCATGCACGGAGAAAGGGATTCTCTCGGGTTTGATAAAATTTCTTCAATTGAAACAAATTTGCCTTGGAATAAAGCAAACAAACGAATGTTTGATTCAACAAACAGAGAGTTGTTTGGTTTCTCAAAGAATAAATATCTTTACGTCGAATAATTACTTATCAAATTTATTTCATTATAAAATGTTTCTTCTGTATTTTTATTCAAACATTACGATGATTGTCACGAGCAATAAATTATTGGAAAGAAGTAACGCTATGTTCGAAAAATATTAAGAAAACTTTTTTATTTCGGTGGCGCAATATTTAATATACAATAACGTCAATTTGATTTGATTGAAAACGAAATATTACCTTCCCCTAAACAATACTGTTTTCCCAATCAAATAATGTGGTTTAGTGAGACAACATTTTCAATCGAACAAAACGATATTCAATATTATATGATGTTTAGATTAAACAAAACCCAAGTCAAACAAACGCGTGTACCAAATCCAGAAACCCTTTCTCCCTGCGAGACACGATATAATCCCGACCCATGGATTTCTAGCGTGTAACTTATATTTTTAGTACACACTTTATCGAGAAGATTTCTTTAACACTGCTAACCACACGAAAGAGCGTAGATTGCGACGAGTATGATACAACTCCGCGCGCGCGCGCGTGTGTGTGTGTGTCGCGACTTGATCCGCGTTCGCTACCACACTTTCACAAGTCCTTGCTGCAGAACGCGTCTCTCGATGTTACTGTTGTACAGCATGCAGCGTGTATTTTAATTATAAAATCAAGAAAATCTATCGGAAAAGTTAATCGACATGTCGAGTATACGCGACGCGCAGTCTACCACGAGAGATTCGAGCGCGTCATACACACACACATACACACACACACACACACATACGCACATACGATGCTGTGGTGGTAGCGAACGTGTTAAACAACAAGTCGATCGATAACCCATACTCTCTCATCGTTAAATAACGTTCCCAGCGCGTTCTTATAAGCGCGGGCCATCGCCGAGGATTATGTCGCCGATAGGATTCACCGTGCTTCGACAAGTTTACGCGGACGATATTGATTTTGACAACGAGTACTACGCCGCCGCGGATGACCAGGAGAAACAGCCCACCAAGCCCGTGCCCATCTGGCTGTGCGTCTTCCTGGTCGTCAGCTACATATTCGGCGGCGCTTATCTCTTCAGCGAATGGGAGAAGTGGCCGTTCCTCGACTCCGCTTACTTCTGCTTCATCACGCTGACCACCATCGGTTCGTGCCACCTTCGCCACCTTCTCATTGCCGTCCGCGTGGGAAACCGCGCGAACCGACCGACGGTGTTTTCTCTTACGTTCATCCCACGCGGCGTCATCAAAGAGATCGCACCTCCCGAAAGAATTACAACGCGTTCGCGCGTCATTTAGCGAATTTCAACCGTGTCTCGCTTATATCTGGAAATTACAAAAGCCGGAAATGACAAAAGCAACGTATAATATTTTATACTGAATGAAATTCGCCTGAAATTGTTCGATGAGATTTTTCGTCCAATAACACGTATAACGTATCACGTTCACATATATGTACGACTCACACATCCGTTCGTCGAGCTCGCGTTGGTTTGTCGCGAATAACGTTAAGCGCAAAGCTCGCGCAACACTTCCCGCCTCTGTTGCTTTCTTTTTTGAAGGTTTCGGCGACTTTGTGCCGGCGTACAAGCTGGACGCGCACAAGGGCATCGCCCTTTGTTCCCTCTACCTGCTATTTGGAATTGCTTTGCTGGCAATGAGCTTTAATCTGGTGCAAGAGGAGGTCATCAACAACGTGAAGAGCGTCGCGAAGAGGCTGGGTATCATCAAAGAGACCGACGACGAGGAGGAAGCCGAGGAGTATGACGAATACGACGCCGAGTACGAGGAGGAGGTCTATGAAAACGAGCCCGATCTCTGCCGAGCCCGGCTCTGAACCCGCCCGGTTTTCAGCCTCGACCATTCGACGAGATCGGCGCGAAACGCCGTCCATCCATCGTTGTCGCGCGCACCGCGCGTAATCCCGCGGGGAATTCTCCGTTCACGTCTCGTATATACGACGTACAAGTCAGCGACTCGCGACGTAGCCATAAGCAGACCTAAGCTCGCGCAAATCGAATTCCCGTTGAGGGCGATATATTTCGGCTCCGGTTTGTTTTCTCGTAGCGCGCGCGCGCGCGCGATCTGCCTCGGCGACAAATCGGAACGAACGAACGAGCGAGCGAGCGTGCGAAATCGATCATTTCAATCTTAATTTTAGCGTGTTATTGCGGTCCTACAGCGAAGCTGGGAAGGCGGAGATGGAACGATCGAGAGCGTTTAGACGAATCCCGACGAGAAAATGAATGGTTATCGTAAGCTCATTAAAACGGATATTATTCGTTGAATAATCACGGTAAGCTCGTTCGAAAACAATGACTATGTTAGCATTTTACCGGATACGGTCCAATTTAGCCCGCGGGACTCGAGTCTGTGTTTTTTCTTCATCGATTTCTTCGGGTGATATATTATTATTTGAATCCCTCCGGTCGGAAGAGAATACTTGAAGAGGACCTGGACATTTTTTTGGGGGAATTTTCACGTCACCGTGAATCTCGTTACTTAAGCGATATCGCAATACGGGTTTATCGTTAATTAATACACCGATGAAACAATGACGAGGCGAGAAACTGTGCATTCAGTGAGCTTCACGAGCTCGGAAAATACCGTTGCATAATGTTGCCGTATAACGCCGTGTACATATACATCTCAGAATTAGATTCTATAAAATGAATGAGAGAATAATTGCGAAATGCAATTAAATTTGCATACACATAGCATAGCGGTGACTTTAATATTTAGCCGACATTTGCATTTTGAATATCTCCCCTTCAGGTTTCGTCCAGCGTGGTTGTTCGCGGTAAGTCTTAGTCATTAGACACGGAAGGTATACATTAGATATATAAATATATTAAATGTGCAATTAGATTTGAGTACTGGAACACTTATTGTATCATTTGCCAGATATATTATATTTATACATAAATGTTGCGTAATACCGTCATTCTCCGTGTATGTGTCTGTGTATTTTTCCTCGCAAAACATTGAAAAGTCTGACGATATACAATCGGTAAAACCATAATATGATCAGTGGATGGTATCAATATAAATCAAGAGATTCACAACGAAATGAAAACATCAAGGAATAACACATACAATCGTGAAGCGCACGGAAAAGATCAATTCAAAACCGAAACGTCTGAATTTTCATACGACTTTTGTACATATTGCTCCTTAATGTATTCACAGATTTAATTTTTATGCGAATCTCTTTACTCGCATTGATGCCTTGCGCCGGCTCTTATCGGCCACGTTATATTTTTACCGACAGTATTATTATTCCTTTCTATAAACGAGAATTCGATGGATCGGGAAATATCATCTCTCGATTCCCCTCTCTGTCAAAAGGGAGCAGCGTGAAAAGAAACGGTTTAAAAATAAAAAAGAGAGGAATATAATTATTCTCGCGTGGAGCGCAACGGAGTATGCTGTAAAATCCGAAAGACACGAGGGATTTTTCGAGAGATATCCTCGGTTTTACAGTAGTCCCTTAAATTTCCTTGAACACACGTGCACACGCGCGACGCGAGAATATAATTATCTCACAGAGTTGGGAAACGGGAGGGAGAGAGAGGGAGAGAGAGAGAGAAAGGGAGGCGGGCGCGACGTTTTCGCGCGGCTTACTACTTTCCGCGCGGAAGATTGTTCTTACAATATTTTCCCGGACGCACTTGCCGGATGCAAAACTCACGCTTCCTATGCAAATCCCTTTCATCCCCTTTTGCGGCCCGCGCATATACACGCGCGCGCACACAAACACGTACGCGCACACACATGTACGTTCACACGTACACGCGGCGTGTACGTTTCTCTCGCAGCGTTCGCAGCCGCATTTCGTCGCTTAAATCGCCAGGACGTTAATCGCCTCGACGGTGGCGTCGGCGGCAACGACAGCGGCGTCCCGTTAACGGCTCCGGCTTCAACGACTCGATAATCGCGCGATAAAGCCCACTCGAAGGAGAAATAATAGCCGCTAAGAACTTCCGTTCGCGCCCATTACGCGAACGAACCAGCCCGGCGCGCGAAATCTGCATTTCATAAATTTTAAAGCCGTTCGGAGGCGACGCGATCTGACTTTCTTCGCAGGAACGGCGGAATTATTCTCCACGGGAGTTGAATATTTTCGCGCGGAATCTCGGGCGATTGATCGATCAAGGGGTATTGTCGAGTAACTCGCGCTTTCGCGTCGCTTTTAAACGCGTTCGGTTTCAGAAACGCGCCGACGTCGGTGATGAGGAAAGTATTGATTCCGAAAATACCTGTCGGTCGATCAGAAGGCCGCTTTTAGCTTCAACCTCGAATTTGTTACATCCTAATCTCTCTCTCTCTCTTCGCTCTCTCGTCTCGGTACGCGAAGAAAATCGACCGCCGCGCCCCACACCGCGTCGTCGTCGCGTCTGTCTACCGGGTGTCCCTCGTCGGCGCGACCAGGCTCTCAAGCGACTTGAACCCGGTTATTTTCGGCGACGCGCTATTTCGGGATAGTGTGTCGTGCGCGGGGTGCCGCGAAATCAGTTTACGGGGGAGCCTCGTCGAGGCGGGTCCGTTTCTCCGCACGTTCGCACGCCGCGGCAATCAGCCGATTCCAGCGGATCGCGCGACCCGCCGAGAAGTTCGCGATCGTCGCGCGCGGCTCGGTCGCGCGGCGCTCCTCCGGAAATTAATCGCAACGTGCGTCGACAACGGGCGCGGTAAGGGCTCGATGTAACGGGAATCGTCGGCGGACAATCGGATGCGGCAGTCGGGCGGGCAATCGTTAACGCGACAGAAACGCGCGTCAACGTCCGTGGATCGAGGCGCGGTCGGCGGGATATGCCCGATGGGACTCGTGGAAAATGATCTACAAGAAAAAAACGGAGGGATGCCGTCGGCTCCTCCTCCTCCGCGACACGTGGTGGCCGCTCTCTTCGTAATCGTCCGTCTGGTGTACTAGCCGCATAGACGTACGTCGTGGCTAACTATAGCTCGCGGCACGGGCATAAACGCGGAGATCTCGTCTCAATGGGGACCCGGGGATCGTAGTGCGCGTAGAGACGCGGAGGATGGACGCATCGGGAAACCGATTCTTCTCTCACGTACGTACGTACCGGCCGCGCGTCATCGCCTCCTACGTCGGGAAACGTCATCGTCGACGACCCACCGGCGCCTCGATCAATAGCGCTCGGCTCGATCCTCCGCCGGAGACTCTCGTGCGTAATCCGCGAGGACGATACAAAATTCACAGCCCGAAATGAAGACATCTCGATAAGCGTTCCCCGAGAGATCCTCCGCTTCGTTTCACGCCGATGTCGATCAATGCGACCGGCGTGAAGCAACGTCTCCCGGAACCGTCCGAGGTAACGATCGATTTCCACGGTATTTCGTTTCGGAATTATTCGCGCCGCGTTCGCGGGAGAGCTAAGGCGAGCGTGGAAATTCCGTCGGAGCGTCTCTCGGCGATGAGAGAGAAAGAGAGAAGTCGTAATCCCGCGATTTATACTCCGACGCGTGAAAAGCGGGCGAAAATCGACGGGGAGAGGGGGCGGACAGTGAGACACCGAGTTTAATTAAAGCCGAGTTCATCCGGCATCGCCGAGAGAGAGAGAGAGAAAGACTTCGGGGAAATCGTCGATCATTTTTCGCGGGATCGTAAACAGTTTCACAATAGATTTTGTTAAGCGGCCAAGTGGCTCATCCCTACCTATGGACGGCTGGTCCGTGTTTTCGATTCCCCGCGGACCATGACGGAGTCGATAGCAGACTCCGGTGAGCGCGGCGCGGCCGCTCGCTCGCGGAGGCAGAAGAGTCCCGCGATAAGGCGTTTTCCATTAAATTCCGCCCGCGCGTAATTTTCTATTAGCCCCGGTCAGTGCTCGCGCACACAAGGCCCTCCGATCTTCTTATACCTCTTCTTATAAGCTCCTCTGTTGCTCCTCCTCTAAATTCCGATACAGAGAAGCGTGCGTTTCCGCGAGATCACGCATCGTGTTTTCCCGGCCGAGTGAAACGCGACGACCCGAGTCGAAATTTTAGCCCCACTTTAAGTCTAATTTAGTTCTACAGCAAGTATTCAAGGATCTTCTATTCTATATTCTATTCTATATATAAACGAGGCAGTTATTGTCACTTTCTTTGAAAGAAAGTTCTTCAAGACTCAATGACGTATATATTTGCCTGTATCGTTTATCGGTATTACGGTAACGCTCTTAAAAAGCTTGCCCTAGAAGAAGCTCTGGTCTATACGTAAGGCGAGCGGGAGTACTCTCGCCCGAGATATCATTTATACAGTTGCCAACTTAGCAAGCGGAGTCTCCCTAAGATCTCTTTCCCAGCCTCGTTGGAGGATGACGCGCCACGTGGCCGATTCCTCGAGTTCGATTTCCGCGCGACAACGTGTGTCCCCGCGGTGAACACACGGTCTGCCGGCAAGTTGTAAGCTATCACCCGACAGCCGAAGATCAAAGGCAAGTCGATTCACAGTTGCAACGAAAAGGACATCTCGTCGTGCTCGGCGAGCCGGAAGCGATGTCCGCGAATCGGAACGAGGTGACCCAGCCGAGTCGATGACGTCCTCCTGAGGAGCTGTCGTCGTCGTCGCCGATGGAGACGGACAAACCGTCCTCCTCGTCGGCCAGCCGGAGCTGGCAGCGTGGAAGTTATCGCAACCGGAGCGGCAGACGGCGGAAACGCAGGCGAAAGTCCTGGGCTGAGAGGATCGCCGATTGGACCAGGGCCCTGATAGCCTTCCTCTTCAGCAACGTCGGCATCGTGTGCCTCGTGGTCGGCTACACTATAGCGGGCGCTTTCCTGTTCATTCACATCGAGGGCAAGACCAGCCCGGACGTCGCCGACGATGTCATCCGACTGAGAAACCTGACGGCCGCCACCCTCTGGGAGCTGACCTCCAAGGTGAAGGATTTATTCCCCTTACTCGGCGGAGTCGTGCCACTGCGACTGTTACACTGAGCTTCGAAACGGCTTTGAGCGCTTTCTTCTCGCATGCAGTTTTCAACGCAGCCGACGGACGAGAGAACTCGGTCGGGTCGATGCGAAAAATTCTTCTTTCTCATATAAAAATGTACATGAAATATTCATTTACTTGTCAACAAAATCAACCAATTGACGTATTGCCCATTAGCGTCCGTTATTTTCAGTGGCGCCATCGCTCAAGGAGCCACTCGTGAAATGAGTATTTATCAAGCAAAATAACGTTCCGATGCATTTATCTTCACCATCGAAATAATTGACTGATCGTTAATTCTTTCTCGTGTCGCGCACGAGTAAGTGTATATGAGACGATCGATTTAACGGCTAGCCAAGAAGCAGCCTCTCGTCGGGCCTTTCCCGCACTCTTTTCACGACAACTTTTCTTTTCATCATATTCTAATGGCGTTGATGCGTTGTCGCGTGCAGGAGAACGTGTTCTCGGAGAAGCTGTGGAAGGCAAAGGTGCGGGACATTCTCGAGAGTTACCAGAAGAAGGTGGTGTCGGCCATAAAAAATGGATACGACGGCGTGGAGGAAAATAAGTGGACTTTCGCGGGCGCCTTTCTGTATTCCCTCACTGTGATAACGACCATCGGTGAGTCTCTCCCCTCGTCCCACTCTCCGTAGAGTATAAACATACCTGCGTATATATACGTGTGTATTCTCTTCTTTTTTTCGAAGCTCACCGTCTTCAATTCCGCCTTAAATCTCATTTGCTTTAATTCATCGATCTACTTTAATTTCTTAATTCACTTTAATTCCCCGAAATTAAACGAACGAACGGCGGAGCCGCCACCGGTATATCCGCGTTTGTCTCTCTAGACGGATAAGACAGTGCGGGAAACGCGGAGGGCAAATATCAGGGAAACGCTTGAAAAATGTAGACAATTTACTCTGCTGCCGGGTACTTCGCACTAAACACAGCGCTCTTATTTGCGCTCTTAATGCCCGGCTAATGCCCACTTTTCTCGTCGTGACTGATAAATCTCCTTAAAGGCTCTCTCTTGTCCCCCGACTATGAGGATACGTCTCGAGAGCTCGGAGATAAAGAGGAGCGGCCGTGAGATTTCGGATTTCGGTAATCAAGTTCACGAGTTATCTTCCCGATAGCCGGGAAGCTATAACTCGTAACGCGCTTGAGAGCTCTTTGTTCGAGCGAGTGAAAATTACTCGGCGAGTAGTAATTGCTTGTAATACGCGGCACAAATTCGATATCCCCTTTATTGTCGAGCGAAGAGAGAGAGAAAAAGAGAGAAAGAGATATCGTCTATAATCTCATCGCGATACATTTGGATGAATGATTTTTTTTTTTTTTATACATACGCGTGTGTATCTAGCACATATAAATGAACATTGAGGACAGCGTGACGCAATGTGGTAAGAACAGTCCGGGTGGAAATTCAAGTTCGCGATACACATACTCAAATAAGCAGGTATGCCTGAAAATAGGAGCAGATTTAAATTGTAAAAACGGGCAGGTCTAGTGTGGAAAAATATGTACATAAATCTTGCGCCGCCAGAGATATCAGCTGAGGCAAGGGATTGATAAAATAGAGAGAGAGAGAAAAAGAGAGAGAGAGAGAGAGAGTGAAAAGAGAAGAGGAAGAATAGTTAGGAAGAGGGTGGCGATGGAAATACATTCGTTAAATTCCGATTCGTTCGTCATTTATATCCATTTATTAATTCTCTTTTATTCGCTGGTATATTCGGCGATTTTAGTATCCGGTTCGGTTCCCTGCTGTTCGGAACAAGTAATCGAAGTCTTTCGAATGTACAAAATTAATAATCACTCCGCTGGGTTAAAAGCCCCCGGTTTAGAGCTTTTCTAATAATCAGGTCGACGAAGGAGGAAGGGAGGGAGAGGGAGAGAGAAAGAAAGCGGGCGCAGAGCCGTTCTATTTCGTGCCGATTGCAGAACAAGTTTCTCGGAGTTGATGGTGAATTTTCGATGTCACACACAGAGTAACGTAGTTGATATTCTTTTTGTGTGTCAACTTTTATCGAGCTAATAAAAATCTATTTCTGTCTTTTGATTTTTCCAATTAGCAAATCCGATTTTATTCTTTCATTTCTATTTTTGATGTACGTAATGCCGCAGTTGGAATATCTTTTTGTTAATCTCGACGATTAAGCTAATGGAATTCTAATCTATCGATTCGTAAAAGTACGTGCCAACTTAAAAATCTCTTCATTCGGCCAAATGTCGAAAAAATACGCCAATCGCTTGCATCGTCGGGTGACTCAACGCAGAGACGAATTTTTGTCAGTGCGCGGTGGAAACGAACTCGTCGAGAATCCACGGATTTTCACCCTCGGAAAGTCATTTTTCTCGCGGATCGACGAGGATAATTAAGATCGCCCGGACGTAATGAGCCGGCCACAAAAGCGGACGAGATGGACTTCCCGTCATCGGTCATCATCGATTTTCGTAAGCACATTTGCCGCGGTGCTCGCCTCTCACGTTCTGTCTTTCTCTCTCTCTCTCTCTCCCTCTCGGATTGATGCACCAAAAGAGATCGAGTTACCGCGTCGAACGGAAGGATCGACGTGAAACGACAGACAGTTACCGGTATCCAGGCCACGAGTAGTATCCTGAGACGTGGAATTTATCATTTTCCGGCGCCGTACGATCTCACAGCAGCAATGAAAGGGTAAAGTGATATTAATGACTTTAACGTGATGGCGGCTTTGTTCTCGAGGTTATGCGTGCTGCACCGTCTCGGTATGTGTGTGTACGCGCACGTGAGTGTGTGTAGAGTATAAATCATGATTACGCGGCAAAATTACGCGAAAGGAATTGCGCAATTTATGAAGGCACCGCATAAATTAGAAATACGTAAAAGTAGCTGCTGCGGCCGATCGTATCGGCGCGTGTTCAGCATTTTTTTTTTCTCCTTTTTACAGCCAGGGTACGTTATAAATAATTAAACATCGGTATTTTAATATGAATGCCGCACGCTCAATGTTACTCGGACTGGCGGACAGAAATTAATAGCACAACAGCGCTGTAATAATTTAATAACTAAAATAATAAATAATTATAATATCATTAACCGCGTAATTAAGCACTGATAATTCGTATGAATTTATATGACTTCGCTAGTCGCACGCGTACACACACATATGTCCTCCCAAAAAGTTCATCCCGTTGATGATCGTCGATACTTACGTTATGACTGCTATTTAAATAGTTCTCGCGTGAATCAATGCTGAAGACGCGCGCGTGTGTGTATATACGTGTGAAAGAAATTTATTAGAAATCGATGATCGGTCGGCTATTTTCAGTCCGAATTTAACACTTCGGATATCGTCCTTTGTCTCAGCGCATGTAATCAGCGCAACGCAAAGCGAGGTTTCGAATTAACATAAATTAATTAATGGTACGAGATATGTTCGATATACCGACGCTTTATGCGAGATTGCAATCATAAATCGATGAACTGCGCGTTAGTCAATTAATACTAAACTGTCACGTTACCCCAATCGACAACGTTGCGACATTTAATAAATACATTAATTAATTTCTCTTTTGATTTCGATGATGTACACCATCTCCCGTCCTGTCCACACACGTCTATCTATCTGTTTAGCTATCTATCTCATTTCCTCTCTTTGCCCCTCGTTACCTTTGCTCGCCTATATTATCGATTTTAACGAGCTCGCGTCCAAACCCAACGAGGCTTCAATCGGACAGACATAATGATCTGAAAATAAACAACCGATAAATGATCGGCTTTCATCAGATATTTAATTACCGCGAGGTCTCCCATCTGCCATGACGAAAGTCGCGTCGATACTCGCGTTTCCCCGCTCCCCTTCCCGATATCTTCGCGGAATCGAGTCGCCGTCGAAAATTACCCGTCGCGCGCGTCCACGCCGAGCCGACGAATCCGCAGTGAGGGTGGATCCGGGACTTGTTGGTTAGGCCGGAAATTAATTAACACGTCGTCGATCGCTCGATCTCACGGAAAAGCCACCCCGCGGAGACTCGCTCGCTTCGTCCGTTCGTCGGCAATTAATTTCTTCAGCGCGTCGCGCATCGTTAGGCTTAAGGTAGTTAACTCACCTCTAATAGTCGAAATATTCGCGTTCGCAGGACGTCCCAGGATGATGCATACCCCAATCGGCGGCCGACGCGATGAAAAGTGGGCGAATCGCCGAAATAAATGAATGCAAATGCTAATTATCTCATTCGTTAATTATCCTTCGCTACGTGTGCTTTATGTGCCTTCCCACGGTAAAGTATCGTCGCACCGATTTGCGGAGGCCGAAATATATGCGCGGGCGTAGTCAACCAAATATGCTTAGCTCCCGGCAGACTGTACTTTCGTTAAACATATTTACTTCTCATTGTGCCAACTCCTTTAACTTCGGCCCGGCGTGACAGCGAATTAACATAAAGAAACTCTCGGGCGGAACACGTTACGCCGTCGGCGTAAATTTCAACGTAGCGCCGGTTCTGCTGCTACCCACTCATTTCCGGTTCGCGTCTACGCCTGCGATATGCGCCAGAATTTTCCCCCGCGAGGAAGAACATCGGTTCCCGTTTATAAAGCTCGCGCCGTCGTTTAATGCCGATTGAATATTCTCGATAGATCACGGATTGGGAAGAGGCGCATCAACGGACGACGGCGTCGTCGTCTCGCTGAGTGCTCCTCGAACATGCCGAAAAATCGGGTCAATGCCATTGAATTGGTAATCGATCGACTTATGCATATTCCGCCCGCGAATTTCGCGAAAACGCTGACGAAGGTCGCGCGTCGTTACGGCGGATCGTCGAGCGCGGTCGATACGCGGGCTTTCACGGCGTAAAAGCTCCCGCCCCGTCGCCGAGCCGCGCCGAGCGTAATCGGAACGCGGCACGATTACACTTAATTTCTCGCATTGTTCCTCGGCCGGCGTTCTCCTGCGCGTTCGATTTCCGTTTTCCGCTTTAATCCGCACGCCCGAATTCACACGAGGCGGTAACAAAAATATCGCGGAATACTTTAATCCAATCGCGACGCGTTTAAATAAATTTACGTAAATCCGGGCGCGCTCGTGTCGCCGCGCGCGCGCGAGGCGATCGTGAAAATACGCGCATATTAACGCGGCTTTTATCGCGATTCTTCGGGCCGTCCTCGTTGTTATAGCAAATCGTTATTGTTAATGATAAGCAGTAATGTTTTCAATTAAAAATGAAGGACGAGCGGGCGAATGGAAATGTTGAACTCCGCGTTAACGCCGCGCCACCCGTCCGAAACTGGAAGGATCAATGGAATCACGTACCGTTTGTATATCTCGATATTTCATCGGCGTTTAATCTATCTTAATTCTTCATTTCGCTCAGCGTAATGTATTCATTATTGAATAATACTGAGACGATATTCAGATAGTCGAATGTTAAAATTATTCTGAAGCGAATCCTTTATTAAGACTCAATATATGGGAGGGACGATCAATCTGCGTCATCAGGGTAGGAAATCGTGTCACACCTTGAAATTCCATATTGATACTTCCAATTCGACGGCGGGATTTATCTGGAGTGAAAATTATGACGCGAAAAATGTACCCGGTTGCGATGATATTCGAGTGACGAGGATTCTTCGTGGCCTC